CTTGGGGCATGAAATTATTAACATAAGGGGAAAAGTTTTTTATTTTTTAATTTAAATCTTTAAAGAAAAGAAAAAAGTAGTGTAAACAAGAAAGTAGCACAAAAATACAGAGGTGCATAAAAGACTGGTGATTGCTGCTGAGAAACTAAAGCCAGAGGATGTGGATTTGGGGAACACACACTCATTCACAAAGAGAGTGGCCTGAAGGGCAAAGGACCGGGCTCTTTAGAACTGGGGCCACACCCCAAACACCAATGGGAGGGGAAGCTATGATGAACTCCAGCTGCTTCTCCCAAGAGTCTGTCCAATGAGAGTGAGCCTGGGGTAAGTGCATTAATACGATAAGTGACTGGAGAGCACCCAAATCTTAGCATCGCTCCAGACCTCCCTGAGGCCTAGTTCACAGCCTGGCCTCCCTTCGCTTTGCAGTTACTGAACATTGCTGCTTAATTGCCCTGGCCTGGAATCCTGATTTCCTCCATCATATTGTCCCCCTTCTATTGCCAACTCAAGGATGCCAGTGCCTTTTGGCCCCATTTGGGGTACTCTCTCTCAGGACCCACTCTACTAGTTTGGCTAAAAAAAACAAAACGAAACCCCTCAGCTCTATTTGAATCCTGATTAGTCGAGTTCTCCCTGTTTTCCTAAATGAATATCTCAGAGCTCTTCATTTCCTTTTCCGATTGACACTCTTCAGTTCTTCCAGTTCCTTCATTTGGGACTTGGCAGTTGTCTCAGAACTTGTCAAGCAGGACATCTATGTCCGCCTGCAAGAGATTGTTCCTTTTCCGGAGGTGTTGAATCTCCCTGTGGTCCACACTTCCACTAATCCCAGTCTCTGCTACCCAGTGGCCATTTCCACACTTCAGGCTTTCTCCCGTCAGGTTCATAATGGGGCTTCCATAGTCGAGGCCCATCTCCACCTCACTTGTTTGTCTATGCAGGTTGGAGAGAGGGGCAGATTTCCGAGCAGGAGTCTTTGGAGTGGATGTTTTCCCAAAGAGAGACATCTTTGGCCAGAATGCTTACAGTTTGGTGGTGGATGGGACAGTAGTGGGGACCAAGATGTTGAGGATGTTTTAAGCTTTGCTGTCATGCCATCCAAGACACAGTGGAAGGTGCCCTGGCATTGTTACTGCTGACCCGTCGCAGGAGCCGCGTTTCAGGCTTTTTTAAAATTAATGTTACTTTAAATGGAATGTTTTCTAGATACATTTGGCTTTTGTATATTGAGCTTGTATTAGACAACCTGGACAAGCTAATTTTATTAGTTGTATTAGTTTTTTTTTTTGGATTCCTAAACAGTTTTCTTAAAATGCAAGAGGTCTTCTACAAGAAGAGATAGTTTTCCTTTTTTGTTTCTAGTCTGGATGTCTTTTGCTTTTCCTTTTCCATCTAACTGCCCTGGTACAGTATTGATACTAGAACCGGTGAGTGGGAGTACTTTCCTGGTCTTCTCTCAAGGAATTGAAGAATAAAGCAAGGACTAGAGGAGTTCAGGCTAGGCAGGAGTTTATTGCAGGCAAACACAAGCTTGCCACTTAGGAAGGGGACCCAGATGGATTGCCATTAAAGCATTCTGCACTTTCCCCTTATCCTACCTAATAAAAGAGTACTATGCAAATTGTCTTTGCCATAAAGATGGCTGGTACCCACAACCAATAAGGAGGGAATATGCAAATTGACGTGATGAGGCGGAAGGCGGCTCTGGCTAGAGCCATGGCAGAAAGGCGCCTCCAGGCCAAAGTGAAGGTGGTGCTGGCAGCCAGGGGAAGGAAGGCCTATTTTTGCATGAATCTTCATGCAGCCAGGGGAAGGAAGGCCTATTCTTGCATGAATCTTCATGCGTTGGGCCTCTAGTATCTGATAAAGGCCCTTTCTTTGTGTGGCTCTCTGATTGGTATCTGGCCTTTTTGCAACATTTCATTTTCCACTTGCAAGAAAAAAATCCTTGTCACAAAACATTCAGTTTTCCTGATGTTTTTCTGGGAAACGTTTTGTGGTTT